CGTTGTGGCAACGTTGATCGGGGTCCGTCATCGGCCCCTCGGGGTCCGTCATCGGCCCCTCGGGGTCCGTCATCGGCCCCTGGTACATCTGAGATATGTCGAGGTGGGTGATCTGGACTCCTTGGGGCAGGTCTCGAAGAAATTGGCCTTGATGGAGCTGGTCTCGAGGATGGGCTTCGATCTCTTCCCAAGCTCCTTCCCCTGGATGCTTGTGGGTGTCTCCAAGGTGGCAGCTTGCGACTGAAGCTCGGGGATCTCCTGCGCCTTGGAGGTGAGGGCGGCGTCGGCAATCTTCGTCGACGCAAAGGGCTCCTTGATCTTCGTCCTGTTTCAGCCATCCTTTTGATCTCAACCTGTTCTGTCCGAAGATGTCCAACGTCAGTTGCAAGCCCTTGTACCAAACGTCGAATCTCATCAAGTTGATCTGATGTAGGATGACCTGCAGTGGGATGATCTGATGTAGGATGAGATGAATGTTCACCTGAAGCATCATCGGCTGGAGCGTCACGCACGTCACGGCCTGAACTCACACTGCCTCGTGATCGTGCCAACCTTGACATGTTCGGGATCAAATGTCGAATTTGTCCCAAGCTCGCAGCCATGTCTTGACAACCATGGCAAACACCACCACTACGCATCTCGCCCCACTTCCAAGATGATGCATGAATGAGAACAACGTCATAACCAAGGACTTTGAGACACCTGTAGGCAGCAAATCCTTGTCCCACTGACCTGTGGCGGCCTGACTTGCACTCCAGGTCCACCAACACCTTGCTGTTAGCCTCCTGCTGAGTGACGAACTCCAGGATGTTGTTGAGATGTTGAATGAACCTGTCCACCTTGCTCAGCGTCTCAAGGATTCCATGATGCCAACCCAGATGCGATCTGAGGTTTACGTCCTGATCAGGATCGTAAATGTCCTCACAGTTGATGCTCAAAGTGTTCCTGCTAGTTCTGCACGCATGTTGTTGAAATCTACGCCCACGAGTCATGATGATCACCTTCCTGTCACTGCGCAGTTCTTCATTCAACTTCGTCTGCAAGATGTCATAGTCCCTCGAATGAAAACCACACATGTCATGGTCGGCCATGGCAACTTCCGATGTGGATGCTGTGTATGCAATGTTGTACTTTCTGTGACACTTAGGGATTTGGGGAAGTTCATTTGGCGGTGTGTTGTTGATGTTGGTCAATCCTTCAGTCAAGTTCATCACAAGTAAACCTGATTTTGAACACCTCTTGATATTCAATGGTTGATCTTTGATGGAAATCACTCCTTTTGCTAGGTCCTTCACTAGGCCTAATTTGGTCTGCGCATGCAATGAAAGAAGCAATGGACTGTTGCCTGTTGACAATTGATATGAATCCAACTCCCCATTCATGTTCCCGTCTGGAAGCAGCAGCGAAAAAGGAATAGATCTCACACCTTCGGTCTTGGTATTGCCACTTCCCAGACCAGCGAAACTCTTACAAATGTCATCCTTCAATGGCATGCTGTATCCCAAACGGGCCAGTCGTGCTTTTGCATCGACTGCCCAAGCTTTGCTATGACAAGTGCTGTTGCAACCTTCATCCAACACTGCAAAGACATGGGATGACCTGGCAATGTCAACAATTTCAAAGTTCATGTAAACCAAGTCTTGAGGGTATTGAATGTCACTTCCATGCAAACTAATGCCAACGTACCCAGCTAACTCCCTGCCCGAGGGGTCGCCGTGCCCATGTTCATTGACAAGAGAAAAACTGTCCTCTTCCTCTGTCACGTCATTGATGGCTTGATGAAGTAGTTCATGTAGACGTGCACGGGTCATGACCTCAGATTGACAGGTTTCGGCAACAAGAGTGGCAAACAGGGGCAACAATTCTTCCAACTGGACTGGATTCAATCCATCCGGTTCTTCAACCAATGATTCAACAATGGGGACTGCTCGAACTGATGCTGTTTCAACCTTCTTGGCAATTGCAACACGCTCCTTACGAATCTGCATAGGAGCTTCATCAATGAACGTGCAACACCTCTTGCAGAAAGTACGGTGTGTTGATTTGCTGGATCCCCGAAAATCTGTGTCGTCATGAGGGCAATTTTCAGGGGACATCAACGGTACCACGTCACGTCTTGTTGTTTCGGAATGACCGCACACAAGACAGGTCTTCCTGATGGTGTACCCCGTAGAACCTTGTTTTGTAAACTCACGACATTCCTGACACTTGTTCGGCAAAGGTGGATTTGGGGGGTTCCTCCTGCCAGTCTCCCGAGTCACCAACAAATCTCGGTGCTCGACATGCTCAACAGGGACTTCGCGCAAGTGAATCCCATCAGCACCAACCACAAAGTACTTGTCAACCCAATTCAACCATGTGACATAGTATGGACTCTTGGGGGTATGTTTCTTGGCATGATGATAGTATCCTGTCTGTTCAAACAACACATTCCAAAAAGACAAACCCTTGAACTGTCCAACAGGAAAGATGCACCCATGGTCCTCGGGTCTCATTGTAACATCGAGATCCCGGGAAATCAAGCCAACGTTGCTGCTGGATGCTGCTGCACGTGAAGGTCTGCTGCTAGGCTTCGCTTGTCGAACTGCCATCATAGCAACTGCATCTCTGTCACGGTCAGGTGAAGCTGTCAAAGTCACACCATCATCATCTGAAGAATCACTCATGTCAGCAAAATGAGCTGCGGGCTTTGGGGCTGGCTTCCCAGGAGCTCCGGATTTGGACCCCGGGAATTTACATTCCGGGTCACCGGCCCAGTGCCCTATGACTCCGCATCTCAAACATTTGCTCTTCGACTTCAGCTCTGTGAGCTTCCGTCTCCTCTGATCGATCGTGAGGTTGGACTTCACGATCTTTCCTTTCCCCTTTCCTTTGGGCTTCCCGAAGGATTTTCCCTTGCCACCTGCTTTCCCCATTGCGGTGAAAGCAGCAAGTTGTAGCTGGATGGCGTCTCCTGCTTGTCGATCGTCTTCTGCACCTTCAAGTTCAAGCAAGCTGTTCAATGCAACTGCTTCGTACTCATCGACATCATCAAAGTAATCAAATTCGTTGTCACCTTCTAGGTTTCCTGGCTCCTCTTCTGCAATGTCACCAAGCATGCCAACATATGAATCATCCTCCCAGGATTGATTCGCAGTTTCATCCCAAGATTCTGCATGTTCCTCCCCATCATCGGGGTAGGCTGCATAAGCTGCTTGGGAATACGATCCCTTCGAAGAAGGTTTGCCTTTGCCATAACCCTTGCCTGTTGGTTTGCCAAGCTGTTGAGGATTACCACGTCCTGTCCAGGATCGTGACCCTTCTCGCAAGTGAGTGCCACTGTAGTTCTCGATCAGCACCTTGCCAACACCTTCAAAGTCCTTAGTGTCTGCACAGGCCTTCACAACGAGGACCTCTTGTCGATTGAGTCCACTCAACTCCAACATCAACTCTGTCCTCAAGCTGTCTGAAAACACCATTGCGTCATCCAACTCGCAAAGCATGTGCCACCAACGTCGTCTCCTCTGAACATAGGAAAGCATGGGTTCGCCTGGCTGGCGAGACAAAGGTCCACCTTGTTTCTGTCCTGCGCGAAAAAGTTCCTTTGCTTCCTCACGAGCTCTTGGAAACACATGGGATCTGATCTCACCCACAAGTTTCACTAAGCCACCAGGTTCGGACAACACTTCAAGTCCAAGATCCCTAGCTATCGAGAAAGCATCTCCTCTCAGTCCTTCAATCACCTTGTTGACCAATGGTCCACGATCAACATCTGTCTTCTGCTTGCCGGACTTCGAGGATTTCCGGCTCGCTCCAGACTTCGGAGTCGAGACCGCTGATGTAGGCTGGGTTGCTTGAGTTGCACCCGACAAATCTGGAAAAGTAGCAAACTCATCTGCGTCTTCTGCGGCAGGCTCTGTTGCTGTGGTCCCAACGGGATCCGCAGGCTTACTTGTCTCCTCCAATTGTTGCTCATAAAGACGAATCCGAAGGAGAGTCCTGAACTGCCAATCATGAAAGTTCGCTGCATCACCTGCATAGATGTACGATCCACTCTTTGTCTCAAGTGGTGCCGACGAATGGCGCTCCTGGCTGAAACGAAGGCCATTGATCGACATAACGCTCGCTCCGTTCGGAGTCGAACAAGGAAAAACGTTAACAAGTGCCTGCCCTGGTCAGGGTCAGACAGATTCCCGAACCACGGCACACTCGAAGTTCAGTTGATTCCCAAAGTTACCAGACTCAAATTCACAAAGGGTTCCCTGGGTCACTGACGAACCACCGGATGCGGGTCGTCACCCGCTCCGCTACCAATCTGAATTTGAAACGGGATCGTTAGTGCCCAACTTTTACCACGGCAGCGCGGTATGACTCAAGGGCCCTAAAGCCAAATGTCAACGGGGGCATGTGATCACTTGGCTATACAAAATATACATTAGACAGGTCAAACTCACAATGGTGAAGCACACACTTAAGTGCTTTACTTGATCAAGATGTGAATGAAGGTGGTGAAGCATGCACTTTACATCATAACTCCAAAAACAGCAGGTTGTTGTTGTTGATGATGATGATTATTATGATGATTATGATGATGATGATGATGGTGCTGCTTCTGCTGCTGCTGCTGCTGATGATGATGATGATGACGAACCATATCTGCACGTCGTGGTTTAAACATGTCTTTCATGCACATCGTGGTTTGACAATGCCTTTAGACTTGTAGGCTATGTATAAATAATATCTGTATTATGTGTTACATAGGCTTACAATGATGCATAATACACATGCAGTCCTATCTGGAATTCGCCGCACACTGGAGTTGAGTTGGCACGGCAAGTTTTGATGGTACACCCTGCCATGGGTCTGTGAAAATGGAATAGTATACCCCACATTCATGGCTAATTAATATCCATGGTGAACATGATGCGGTGATAAACCAAGGGATGTCCTGATTTCCTCGGCTCTCTTTTCAGACATACCCATAAATCATATATCCCATGCAGAACACCCTTTGCTCTGGCCTGGTGGGGCGGAACGGGCCCTCTTTGGCATTCTAATCAAACGCTGGAAAGTTGTTGCCATGGCAGTGTGCTTGAATTTGAGTCCACCAAAAACTGCGCATTCAGAGCATGGCCAGTCCAAGGCAGTTGCTGACTTTTTTTATCTCTCCACATGTATTGGCTCCATAAATTTGCCGTGTACCCAAATGCAACCCAAATGCATCCGTCGTCTATAAATCCACACCACGATAGTTTATAACTCACATCTGTGAAGATATTCAACCTGTTGGACTAAGTCAGACACGAGGCCAAATTGCAAAGGGCGTCAAAATTGGCCCCAAATTGATCCATCTGCTCAAGTTATTGTGATTTCTATTGCCATTTCACCACCATATTTTTCATCCAAATCCACCATCCAAATCCAGAAAATCCTCTGTGCCTTGGAGGCTCCCAGTGATCATCCCATGACCATCTGACCATCCCATGCCCCCAGTGATCCCATTGAAGCATTTCTGCAATTTTTCTCCGAAACAATCCGAAACCTCTGAGGCAGCGTCCAAAGCACCATGAAACGCAGGATGAAGCTAAAACACAGCTGTTTGACACAACGGGATCCCCAGAAAATATCTCATTCCATTCGCAGATCATCCTTGATCCTTTCACTTGCAATGGTGCAATATTTCGGTGGTTTACAGTACGTACCGTGAACTGTGTCGAAATGTTTCAAATTGAGAGCAGCTTGATCCAATCCCTGAGGCTTCCGGGATCACAATCTGCACAGAGTTGAACCTCCAACCTGGGGTCTGGACAAAGGCAGCGAAAAAAACGTCTGAATCATTTGGGTAAGGAGCCTAGGAGCTATGAAAACCAGCAGAAGGGCCATTGAATGAGTGTGGAAGGCGTTCCGAAGAAGTCAAACAAAGTCAGAGTTCTTCAAGCCTGATTCTTATATTATATATAATAAAACTAAAACTGATATTATATATATATATACTATAAGGAACTGAAGCGTATATGACCTGGAACCGCATCCTTGAATCCCAGTTGACTTCCACACGCACATTCATAAATTAAAACTATTGAATATAATCCACACACACACAGAGGCTACATACAAATTAAGCAGAACACACTAACTATTACCACCTGTTGGTGAACAATTGCCCACCACCAATGTCTTATTGCCGCGTGTTGCTCACTATGCCATTTGCGCTTCAGCCAACTGGTCCTGCAGGCCATTGGCGACTAATGATGAATGATTGTTGCCATGATTCTTGGACAGGACATGTTTGGAAAGCAACGAAGCCGTTTGAGAAACAAAAATCATATAATCTGACATACTCTGACACCAAATTATCCAGGAATGACGTCAAGAGTCATTTCAAATATATTTGATCCAATCAGATGGTCCTCCTAACCGAAAAAATGAAACATCTCTAAACAACAAGGGGTACTGTAGGAGAAAACTAGGGTACTGTGGGAGAAAACCTGTGAGGAAACCCCGATACAATGCTCTTAACATCAACATATATTGTATCCACAAACGTAGGGCCTTCTCAAATACGATATGCATTGATATGCCACATGATATATGATTTGGTTTGATCCACCTTATTTCAATGGTTATACGATTGGGAATCTGAAACTTGGCGATCCTGGTTGTAAACCAGAATAAATGATGTTGCATATGGTCTGGCCCCTGGCCCGATGTCAGGTTGATCAATCAGAAGCCGTTCAGACAGCAAAACAGCTCGACTCATCCAATGTCAGCAGAATGTCACCATATCTGCTCGACTGCGGACAATCACTTCTCTGCAGATGTCCGCAGGTCCGCTTCACAAGCGACAGTCCCACCAAGGGGCCGAACGGCAAGACAAGGCAGGAATGGATTTCAAGTTTGAAGTCCGGCTGGCAAACCGCATTCCAGCCAGTCGAACTTCAGTGGCCAGTTGCACTAATTATACGTTTTCAACTTCTTTCAGGGGTACAGTAGATAATTAGCCAGGAGATGACCACATGTATCCGAATGTCCAAGGCAGTCAGGCATTCCTGCCTCTTTCCCGTATTCTCGCCCGACTTGTTTTGAGTATATGGCCTGGATTACACATGCAACATAGAGAATTCGCTGACATCCGCTGACTATTCAGAGAAGATGTCTTGCCAGATGATAATGCCCGCCCGAATAACATTTTTTTGCCCGAATTGGGGTCAAACTATTTTTCAGCATTCCTGAAAAGGCTACTATACCAATTCAGACCCACACTTCTGCTTGGAGGCCCCAGGTTGCATGGAGCAAGGGGATGATGTCGGATGATAAGGATACTCCGTCAAGCAATGACCCGTTTGAGAAACAAAAATCATATAATCTGACATGCTCTGACACCAAATTATCCAGGAATGACGTCAAGAGTCATTTCAAATATATTTGATCCAATCAGATGGTCCTCCTAACCAAAAAAACTGAAACATATCAAAATAACAAGGGGTACTGTAGGAGAAAACTAGAGTACTGTGGGAGAAAACCGATGAGGAAACCCCGATACAATGCTCTTAACATCAACATATATTGTATCCACAAACGTAGGGCCTTCTCAAATATGATATGCATTGATATGCCACATGATATATGATTTGGTTTGATCCACCTTATTTCAATGGTTATACGATTGGGAATCTGAAACTTGGCGATCCTGGTTGTAAACCAGAATAAATGATGCTGCATATGGCGGCCATATACCAGTAGTACCGCACAAAGCGGTGGCAGAAATTTCAAAGATAGGAAACTATAGGAGGGGCGCGTTGCTGTGATGCATGGATGGCAAAGCGACTCCCCTGATGGACGGTAAGGTGGTTTTTGATTTTTGGGGTGGTTGCAGTGGTCACCTCACAGACAACGGCAGGATGTAGTGTGGTGTAGCGAAGCTCAATGTAGTTGTAGTTGTACAACTACTACAACTACAGCTACAACTACACTAGGCTAAAACTACAACTGCAACTACAGCTACAACTACCACTACGCTACAACTACAACTACAACAACGACTACCAGTAAACTACACTACAGCTAAAACTACTACAATAACTACTACAACAACTACAACAACTACAACTACAACTACTCTACACTTCAACAGCTTGTACCACTACCCTACAACACAACTACAACTACACCTACAACTACAACTACAATACACTACACTATAACTACACTACACTACAGCTACAACTGCAACTCCTACAACAACTACATGTGTTACATTTACTACAGCTACAATTTCAACTACACTTCAGCCACAATACAACTAGAACTACAACCAGTACGACAATTGCAACTGCAACTGAAACATTACAACTTCAACCACGTTGTAGTTGTAGTCTTATTGTAGTTGTAGTGTAGCTGTGGCGCAGTTGAAGTTGCAGCTGCAGTTGTAGTTGCAGTTGCAACTACAGTGTAGTTGTGGTAGTAGTTGTAATTGTAGTTGTAGTTGTTGTAGCTGTTGTACTTGTATTTGTAGTTTTGCGTCACGGAAATTGTAGTTGTAGTTGAAGCTGTATTTGTAGCTGAAGTGTCGTCGAAGTTTAGTTGAAGCCGTAGTTGTAGTTGTAGTTGTGGTTGTAGTGTAGTTGTAGTTGCAGTTGTACTAGTAGTTGTAGTGTTAGTTGTAGCTGTAGTTGTGGCGGTAGTGTAATCAATGTAGTTGCAGTTGTCCTGCTTCGCGCCACAACGTGGTGCCCTTTTTGAACAGCTCAACTTTGAAAAAGGCTCCGGCGTTGGTGTCTTTTGTACATCTGACTTGGAAATGTGCTTCGCGCCACAACGCCGTGCAATTTTTCATCTCTCATCTCCCCAGGTGGCTCCGCACCCGCCGCTTTAGCGAGCCTACTTTTCGACCTTCCGGAGCCACAAATCAATGGAAAGAAACCATGTTTCGCGACTTTTTCGACCTTTTTGCGCACCTACATCTTCTTTCTTCTGACTCTTTCTCTTCTCTGATCTTCTTTCTTCTTGTCCATATTGTCGGAAGTTTGACTTCTAAACTTCCTTCGATTATCACTGGGGCCTGGCCCCTGGCCCGGTGTCAGGTTGACCAACCAGAAGCCGTTCAGACAGCAATATAGCTCGACTCATCCAATGTCAGCGGAATGTCACCTCATCTGCTCGACTGCGGACAATCACTTCTCTGCAGATGTCCGCAGGTCCGCTTCACAAGCGACAGTCCCACCAAGGGGCCGAACGGCAAAACAAGGCAGGAATGGATTTCAACTTTGAAGTCCGGCTGGCAAACCGCATTCCAGCCAGTCGAACTTCAGTGGCCAGTTGCACTAGTTTTATATATATATATATACGTTTTCAACTTCTTTAAGGGGTAGATAATTAGCCAGGGTAAAAAAAACAGCAGCCAAACAATTTTTCAAGGGGGTACTCCATGAGCGACCCAGATCCTCAATAATATAATTTGTTGGATGGCACTTTATTGTGCACAAAAAAGTTTTGGGGAGGAAAAACACAAGACCCTTTATCCACCTGTCTTTGGGTAAAGCTGGTCCATTTACTTTAGAAAACCATATCCATGTTAAAGCCTTGAAATTGCAAGGTTTCCCAAATAATTAGATGCCTTACTAACCCCTTGAAAAGAAAACAGCAGCCACACATTTTTTCAAGGTGGTACGCCATGAGCGACCCAGATCATTAATAATATAATTGGTTGGATGGCACTCTATTGTGCACAAACAGTTTTGGGGTGAAAAAACACAAGACCTTTATCAACCTTTCTTTGGGTAAAGCTGGTCCATTTACTTTAGAAAGCCATACAGTATGTGTCGTAAATCCTTAAAATGCAAGGTTCCCCAAAAAAACAAGATGCCTTATTAAACCCTTATTTTTTGAAAAAAACAGCAGCCAACAATTATTGAATGGGTACCCCATGAGTGACCCAGATCCTCAGTAATATAATTGGTTGGATGGTACCCTATTGTGCACAAAAAGTTTTGGGGGGAACAAACACAAGATCCTTTATCAACCTTTCTTTGGGTAAAGCTGGAGTATTTGCTTTAGAAAGCCATATGCATTGTAAACCCTTCAAGCGCAAGGTTCCCCAA